CAAAACTTGATCGAAGAAACAGACACAGAAATGACCACAAATGGCTTTCTGCAGAAGCTTGTTAATCACCTGCTGAAAATCAGCAGTGTTGAAGCAGAGAAACCTCTGGAACATTAAGGATGGTGGCCCTGGAGGACCAAACTGGGAAACCACTGGAGACCTTAGCAAACTAGGATTGGAATAGGCTACTACACTTACCTTTTATTGTTATATAAGTATTGATCAACAATGTTTGAAATATTGAAACTGTAACAAGCTGCAACATGAGTTGTTTCTCAATATTTCAAAAACAGAGATGTTGCATTTTGTACTTTAGGTACTTGTCTAATAGGCCCAAATCAAGCTACATATTTATTCAACAGAGTTCAGAAAAGGTCAATTCTACATTATTCTCCAATTTACAGAATCAAAATGTGTTCAAATGTGAATTAAAATAGACACTGAAAGTGTAGCTGAAAACCTAAATATCACAAACTGTAATGTAGTTACAAAGTGAAAGTGTTAGTTTTTGTAGCTATATAACCTGCACTCATCTGACTAGATAAAACTGAACATGCAGATTTGATTAAAGCTGCACTAGCAAATTAGCTTAAAACATTTTATGCCTGTTAAAACTTTTCTAACATAGTATAGCTATACTGTGTATTTTGGAGATAAAAAAATTGAAATAAAAAATAAAATAAAATGGTACTCTAGCATTTTTCGAAAAACCTCTGCCAATAACACATTTCAAACCAAAACCAACTATTGGATGCGGTTGTCGTTCTCACTGATCTGCCGCACTTCCCTCCATTCATTATGCACTTGTGGATTTTGCAACAGAACACCACTGGTGTGAGAGGTCCTCCGCTCAATATCAGAGAAGGTGAAGCAGCCTGCTGCTACCACTTCAACTTTAGGACAAACTACCAGAGTTTCAAAAAGAAAAACACCATTTGAATTCACAGACAGCAAAAGACGTTTGGACGTAGAAAACAGTGACTGGTGTTTGGTACCCACTAGTATTCTCTGGCAATGTGGGTTTTATGTTCTAGTGGACGTGGATCCAGGAAAGATACCTGAGAGGAGGAGTGAGTGTTCAGTGAATGTGTTTCCGTTCGAAACCTAGCTTGACTGCAGATCCGTCATAACAGCTTTAATATTATCAGTGTTTTATGCATGTGTTTATTAGCAAAGTATCTCATGAACCATTAGGCACATTTTATTAACTCCTAGGCTATGTTCACACTGCAGGTAAAAGCGCATAAAATCCTATTTTTCCCCCCACATGCAACCCATATCTGATTTTTTTTACGACAGTCGGAACTGTACAGATCTGATTTTTAAAAAATCCGATCCAAGTCACTATCATATGTGGTACTGATTCCAATACATATCTGATGTTTTAAAAAGAGACTGCAGTCTGAACGGTCATGTCGCATTAAATCCATCTCCTACGTCACTGAGTCAGTGGAGGTGTGCGTTGTGTGAACGTTCCTGAGGAGCAGCGCTTACACAAGGATTCAGGAGTCTGTCTGGACATCATGTCAAGTTTTTGAATTAAAAATACAGGAGAGCATGAGAACGGGAGCGGGAAGTGCTGCTGGAGCGAAGCCTCGATGAAAAATAATTCATGAAGACTGCGGGAATAAGGAGTAAAATATTTCAGTTTTAAAACAATTCAATTCAATTCAAGTTTACAGTATTTACATAGCACCAAATCACGACAAGAGTCATCTCAAGGCACTTCACACAGTAAACGTTCCAATACAGGTCAGTTCATTAAGCCAATAAGAAAAAAGTTTCCTATATAAGGAACCCAGCAAATTGTATCAAGTCACTGACAGGTATCAGTGACTTTACAGCAATCCTCATACTAAGCAAGCATATAGCGACAGTGGAGAGGAAGAAACCTCCAGAGGATCCTGGCTCTGTATGAGCAGCCATCCACCACGACTCACTGGGGATCGAGAAGACAGAGCAGACACACACACACACACCCCAACACCAGCCCACCCACAAACACACACATCCACACACACAACATATATGCCAAGTAATGTTTCTATGGTTACATTTGATTTCTTAGTAAATATTTTATTTGGTGAGAGATGAACTTTATAATATTTATCCTAGTAAATCTATAATTAAGCGGGTAAACTAGTAGTAGCACATTTAATGTCAAAGAAAGTAAAATGTTATTATCAGGAGAGGGAGAATGTTTAAGTGGTTAGCAAAAGTGTTCAAGCCAAAGGCCCCACCATGAGGGCACCACAGTTTCCAACCCGAAACGGGAGACTAGACAGGTGTGATCCTGATCCTGCTGATGAATTGTCAGTGAAGGCTTTCACATCACAACTCTGCCTCTCCTGGTTCTGACTCCAGTGAGTGTGACTTCTTGTCTTCTGTGCATGCAGGTCACTTTTGGGCCATGGAGCGTTCACACTGGAGAGACTCTGATGTTGCATTTCAGTCATAATGTGAACAGCCTCCCCCCCCCCCCCCCTCCCCCCTCCGCCAAAAACTGATGAGCATGTAGTCAGTGGAACGCCAGGAATGAACTTTAACAACGCGTATCTATGGCTGCCTAGCATAACTGGCATTGATTTGAAGATTGTGTGCATTGCCCAGAATTAACGTGACAAGCTCCAATATACATGTAACCAGATGTTGACTAAACGAGCGAGACACACTCACCATGGTCACTGGGTCTCTGGTTTAGAGGTCTTTCATAATTTCTACAATATCGCACTGTCTTTTTCCTGCTGTGATCTCAAAATTAAGCAGTTACTGATCTCCTCTGTTGACTGACAAGTTTGTTTTGGTGTACCCTACAAACTCTATCCAGTCTGAGTTATCTACGGTGTCCCCTAGTGGAACACTCCAGTAATGTACTGTGCAGCAGCAAGTATGTGAATAAAGGTTACAAAGCACGTATATTCAACGCCTAATCCAAGATGGCCACCATCTGAAAACACAAATTGGTGATAACACATTCAATTTTACAGATGGTGGGTTAAAATTTGATGCTGGTGTCACTGAAAGTCACCTCAATCACACGGAGTGTAATCTTCCATGTTTGCTTGAAGCTTTGGCAATTCTGCTTTTTATCAAAACATCCCGGGCCACATAATGTTTTTTTTTTAAAAGATACGGGCCATGAATGGCATGTGTAAAGAAGTATTAACCCTCTCAGGCTCAAAATAAGTTTTCATAAAAGGACGAACAACTGAGTCCTTCCGGGGTACTTCTGAGTTAAAAAAAAATGCTCATGAAATACGTATATGGTGTAACCAGATACCGGTAGGTACGCCTGCCTCCAGAGGGTTAAAACCTCAGATGAAAAAGGTTTGGGGGTTTTCACGGCTGGAATTGAAGGAAAATCTGATGTTTTTGACTGGCGTGGGAAAAACAGAAACTAACGTCCGGTCTATGTCCTGGGCAGCTGATGACGTTGGAAATCGGAGGTGCAGACATGTTTTGGACCGTTTGACTTAGAAGATCTGCAACCCGATTTGAACACTGGGGAGGATTCTGTTCATCTTCAGAACCAAAATCGATACAGTTTGTTTACTTTTATATTTTATTTTTCATTTCTGTGCTCCACCAGGAGCTCTAAGCTGACAAGTTCTCAGCTGGTCTTAGCTCCACCATCGGTCTCAATGTAATTCAATAATCTACAGACAATTAAAATAATGTGCTGCCAGTTTTACCGCTGTGTGTATACGTGGAAATAACTCTGGAAAATATTTAACCGATAATTTACCAGAATAAATCTTCCTGATGCTGGAGTAACTCGCTAGCTCGGCTCGTTGTTTGCACTGATCCAGGATGCCATGGAGGTCACAGGAGGATCTATGGCTGGAATATGGAGATAATCTTTTAGATTATCTCTCTCTCTCTCTCTCTCTCTGTGTGTGTGTGTGTGTGTGTGTGTGTGTGTGTGTGTGTGTGTGATAGCTTTCCCGAATGACTTGTTTTTTCCTTACTAGAGCTAACACGGTTAGCAGAGTTGCTGCAGTCATGTTAACGGGACTCGTCTGGATGAAATGAAACTTTCAGTGAGAAACAACCTGATGTACATCAGTGGCATATAGCCAGAAGCTCCTTTGTGGGCAGGCCTAAGGGCAAAAATGGGTAGGCCTAATAAATGCAATTGAAAACAAATATATTTTGCATGTATGTATACCCATACCCACGCCCCTGATGTGCACCTTAGGCGAGCACCACTCACAGCCTGCATGCCAACTGTTAACAGATCACACAAGATCGTGTGATATCTTGTGAAATTTCGCTAAAGTTATTTTCAAAATGTCTCAACAGCTTCAACACGTCTTCTCTCAACATAAGATCTTAGTTTAAGGCTGTGCTGCAAAGGGAGATGGTGGTATGAATTATTTAAAGCAATAGTTTCAAAATGTAATTCAGCTGTGGCTACACTGTAGCTCATCTCCACCAGCGTGTGCTGTGTGAATGGGTGGAGGATTGTGTTGTGAAGCGCCTTGGGGGGTTGTAGAACCCTAAAAAGGAGCTATACAAATACAGGCCAATTTGTTATCGGATTATGTAATCCTGAACATGAATTGTAATCCCACTATCCTGCAGCTAAATATTTATTAACTTATTGAGAATCAATGTGAAATTGATATTTGTCTTGGTCTCACTGAAAAGATACATTTATATGAAGCACATAGCTTCATTACATTCATACACATTCATTCATCATTAGTGAATTGTATCGGAAGCTGCACGCGCGTGCTGAATTTATTTTTTTAAGCCTGGGGGAGATATTACTCTCCCATTAACATTAGGATATTAAGAGTGGAGAAGAAACAGGAAAAACGCTAAAGATGAAGACCAGTTGGATGTGTTGGAAAACGTGCGCGCCCTCACACATGCGCGTGTGAGCGTATCCTCCACCCCATCCTTCTCTCGCGCGCACTCTCTCTCTTTCTCTCGCGCGCTCTCTCTCTCACGCACGCTCTCGCTCGTGCTTCACCCTCGCACCTCAGCGGTAACGCGCGCGCACACGCACACACACACACACACACGTTATCCCTGCACCCTGTATTTTTATGCCTCTCGCGCCGGGCGCTATCGACGCGGTCGTGGATTATGATGCCAGTTTTTATAACAGCGGAGTTTCGACCTCTTCCTCCGCTGCATCCGTAAACAGCAGTAAAGCGCGCGCTTTTATTTTTTATTTAATTTTTTTCCAGCTTTATTTGTATTTGCACTTCTGAGCACCGAGAGACCGCCGAGACGCAACGTCCATGCTGTTGGAACATGTCCTATGTTCCTTTTCAAGGTAAGACGAGCAAATCTTTATCCTTCTTATTTATTTTTATTTTCACTGCATCTTTCTTTTCTGTCCTTCCCCTCTATCCCCTCTCTGTCTCTCTCTGCCCCTCTCCTCCCTGTCCGTCATAAGCTCCATAGCCGACAGGTGCATAGAGATAGCCCAGAGTGATTGTAGATAAGATGCCCACAAGCGCGCGCTCAGGTACACCGAGATCCGGCGCAGCGACTGTCGGTGTGGAGCTGTGCATGCGGCAATTATAGTATTGTAATAAGGAATACGTGTGCGCTGCTGTCACTGTCTACTCCTGCAAGTGTATTCCTGCTGACTAGGAATAAATGCTGTAAAAAATCAGAATAGCACTTGTTTGATGAGTTTTTGCACCACCTGCGTGGTCTAGTGGATCTACTTCTATAGTATTAATAAAAAAAGCATGACGTGAATTAGGTTTGCTCATGATTGTAATCATAAATGAAAGTCTCTGTGTGGGATTCATTCAGAACATCCTGTATCCTGCCTGGTATACGTGTGAAAAGTTTGGCCTGCTGAAATATGTAGATGACCAGAAGGAGAGGCTACTTGTGTCGCTGGTCTTTCATTCCCTCACACTGGAGCGTGTGTGTGGGTGAAAGGCGCTTCAGTGCATCGTAAAGCCACATTCCCTCGGTATCCTTGCTCTGCAACTGTGACTAATGCTATATGTGAGCAGGCGTGCTGCAGTGAGCTGCCGCACAGCCCAAATGTTCAATTTGCAGTGTGTGGCTCAGTGTGTGTGTGTGTGTGTGTGTGTGTGTTAGACTCTGATTTTGGTTTAAAATAAAAGGAAGACAATTTGTGAAGGCTGGAGTCAGACCAGGATGAGATGTGATGGACAAGTTTGGAGCAGCTGTGAAGGACTGAGGGAGTCGTGGTTTATGTGAGTACTTGTTGTAACGGTGTGGATGTGGATACAGGCTCAAGTTTCCTTTTGTGAAGAGACACGCGTGCTTCTAAAATCTAATCTCAGCCTTAAAAAAGTCTAACCTGGCAGCTCCTGGACTGCACCGTGACCCTTGGAGTCAACATCTGAGCTGCAAAGAGAGATCAAATGTAACGGCTGCAGCTGCCTGCTTTCCTTTTAACGCCGGTTCTTATTCCCTCTGAGCAAAGAAGATAATGACCAAAATGCTCTTGTGTGCAAGTGCAGCTACAGAAGTTGGTTGAATAATGGTGGTGAGATGTTCTGCCACTCTGTGTGTGTGTGTGTGTGTGTGTGTGTGTGTGTGTGTGTGTGTGTGTGTGTGTGTGTGCGTGTGCGTGCACACATGCACGAACCCACTCAGGTAGTCATTGCCAGGAAATTGTGAGCACAGTGCCGCACCTTCAGAACCCTCTCCACGATGACACGGAGTGCTCTTTTCCTCTGCCATCTCCACGATCCCTTGCTTTTTGGGGGAGTCTTTATCCCGTTGGGAACATCTGCTTCCACTTTATCCTCTCCACTTACAGAGATAACATTTCCATTTGTGTGACTCTTGACAGAAACAAAGTGGCTTACGTTCAGGTACTTGATGCCGCTGATTAATTTCACTGCTGAATTTACAACCATTCAATAGAACATCTGAAATTCAAAATTATTTGGATTTGTTTTAAACTAAGCAGAAAATAGTTGAAATTTAGTCTTTTTAATTGAGGATCTGTCAAAAATAAGCAACTTTAAAACAATGGTTTGTGCATGTTGAGTAGAAGTGGTATTTTGGACCAGCTCACCTATACATTAGGAGCTCCATGGTTACTCAAAGCGATTATGTAACACCGTGTGATATTTATTGCTGCACAGTGACTCAACATCCAGGGATGAAATATGTGGAAAGAGGGCTGATGTAGTTTGACACTGATTTGTGATGAGATTTAGATCCACACTGGGGGTACGAGGTGGTTGGGGTCTCAGCGGTGCTGCAGATGCATTTGAACCCACACTGACGAGTGTGTTCTGCTAATGTACCAGGCGAGCCATTTGCAGTCATGCCAAGTACCGGCTCACATGAACAGGCAGTTAGTGGGAGGCAGGCAGCAGCAGCAGAGATGGGCCTTCCTATCTTGGCTGAATCTTCTTCCTCCTTCATTCGTTCCTTTAAACTCACACCTCCATTTCCATCTCTCCTCCTTTTCCCTCCTGTCCTCCACTGTGGTCGACTCTCCTCCTGTTGAGCCACCCGCTTGTGCTTCTCCTCCACCTCCACACCTCTTCCATGCCTTCTTTGTGACGGACAGACCCACGAGCGCAGAAGGACACCAGCTTTCCATGGCCTGGTCGATTTTACAGTAGTTTGATCCAGCAGCTCCTGTCAAGCATGACCAGAGTTAAAGAGACAGCGCACCACCAATGCACTGCAGCACTCTTCTTCTCCCCCTTCTCCATCCTTCTCTTTCTCCCATGTGACATAAGGGGCCGTCTTACACCCCTCCACAGCTCAGGCTGTGCCAAGGACCATCATCTGTTAGGCTATTACTGTACCACATGCGCAAATCTCATCCAGCCCTGTGCACTACACGATCCGTCAAAGAAGAAGGCCCATTCATTCTCCTCTTGAGGCGGATTTTTCAAGCGCTGCGTCGAATTCCCGTCAACGGGCACACAGGAGATGTGCTTTTAGTTGTTCATGTAGGCATGTACCTCTCACTCCACTGATGCTGATGGATCTCCAGTGATCAAATGCATCACAAATCAAAGGACTTCCTGTCCAAGTTTGGAGACATTTAATATTTGCTGTCCCAATCCCCTCCAGATAAAGCAAGTCAGCATTTTTAAATGTCAGACCAGACTGTGCCTCTAGCTTTTTTAAAAGAATGCCCTCGACGATTCGGTCAAAGGTGTGTGATGCTGCTTAGGAAACATCAATGATGTCATTATTCTGGCTCAAAGACTGGAAATTAATCAACGGGACTACATTTAATTAAAGTCCTTTATTTCTTGTTATGTGTGTGTATTTACACATGTAACAGTCTAATGAATGTACGCTCTAATAGTGAATAACGGCTGATTGAAGTTTTATAACTTCTGATTCAACAGGAGTTTGATCACAACATAAACAGCTCACATTGTGTCCGATCTGTGAAAATATACAAACTGGGTAAAAAGTTTGTTTGATCTTACTGGTTTTCTACTTTATTTTAATAAAACAAACAAGCAAACAAAAAATGTGATATTTAAATCCTTTTGTCAAATTGCATAAATAACAGTTAAGTAATTTTTTCATTAAAATCCTTTTAATCTTAAATGTGATCCTTTGAATTTTACAATTTCCATCTTGAATATTTTTCATGTTGTTTTTGGTGAAAAAAAAGATTATTTTAATTTTACAGCTTCACTATGACACAATAAGAAATTCAATTTATAAATAAATACAATAACTGCAATTTCTAAGCTTTTTTTAAATGTAAGCCACTCCGCATTTGACATCCCAAAGCAGCTTTAATGTTTCATTTCATGAGATGTTTGAACATCATAGAAAACTTCCACACGAGTCAAGGTGAGTACAAGTATGATCTTTGGGAAGTTAAAGTCCCATTAGTCATCACACACTGACAAAATTCATCTTTGCATTTGACTCATCCCTGTGGGGATCGGTGACCTGCAGCAGTGGCTGCGTTCGGGAACTATTTGGTGGTTTAACCCCACAATCCAACCCCTTAAAGCCGAGTGTAAAGCAGAGAGGCACCAGGTCCCATTTTTAAAGTCTTTGGTATGACCTGACCGGCAGTGTTGGGAAAGTTTGTTTAATAAACAAACTAGTTTCAGGGTTCAGTTCATACATTTTAAAATGAAATAGTTTGTTTCTTAGTTCATAATTAAAAAATAAATTTGAACTAAGTTCACTGTTCCATTTTTCTCCTATACATACATACACACACACACACACACACACACACACACACACACACACACACACACACACATATATAAACTCCTACCCAGCTCCAGTTGTTATTGAGTATATTCTCAATAACATTAGGAAAAAATTATTTGAACAGTTTTTTTAATGGGAACTTGTTAAACAGTCTTATGAACCAGGCTGAGGTAGCAAACTCAAAGTGCAATATTAAAAGTGCAAAACATAAAAAAATGCATAAGCTTTCAGTTAAGTCCCTTTTCAATTTTTCTGAATGAACTTTGACTTGTTTATCTAAAGAACAATAGAACTGCTGTTTCTACTATAGGTCACTGTCTGGTTTTGGGTAGTAGATGGTCCGTTTTCATCCATTTTCGCCACGTCTTTTAATTTTTTTAGTGACTTGCACATACCTTGAAAGGCTAGCCGGGGGCTTTGTTTCAATATGCCGCTTCAAGTTTTATGTTGACGTAGTTGATGTCCATAGTTGCTTCTTGAGACCAAGCAGGCAAAGTTTGCATGAAAATGTAAGATTTTTCCCACCTGGATCATCACAACATTTTCAAAAAACTATTTTAAGTGACCATATACTGCATTAACCATTAATGCAAACGTATTGCAATTGCCACTGCATCCGTTGGAATTTTCCTTCATGCTTTGCGATTTGATGACGTGTGAGTGATGCGACTCCATGACTTCCGTCCTCCACACAGCATAAACATAGAAGAGTAGACGCCACACCAACCACTACTGCCTATGTTTGGCCACATTTGCGGGTTCTACTTTTTATAAACTCTATGGTTAACAGGATGTTTTAGCTAGGCTCTAGCTCCGGAAATCTCCGTGTAGATCTGGAGCTAGAACGGCAAAAGAACACACTCCAAGACGAACGCACTCACTTTTACGTTCGTCAGGCAAAATACAAACGAGTTCAATTCACGTTCACGAAAAAAAACAAACACATTCACGAACAATTGTTCAATGAATGCGTTCGGGCACAACATTGCTGACTGGTATTTGAACTCAACCCCCCAGACCCAGGGTGGACACTCTACCACTAGGCTACTGAGAAGGTATTCACTCACTTCATGATCACCAAGGTGGTTCACTCAGGGTGAGGCTCAGCCATTGCACTCT